TCAGACATTTTTATTTTTCATTTTGAGATAGGGTCTCACTAAGTTGCTGAAGCTGGCATCCTCCTGCCTTAGCCTCTCATGTTGCTGGGATTACAGGCATGTGCCGCTATACCTGGCACATTGCAGTTTTTCTTAAGTTGGACAATGGAGTTGGATATTAATAGTATGTCACTGTTAGTTGAAACTTCTTTGACCCTTGGCCTTTTATTTTTTTATTTATCTATTTTGTTTGTTTGTTTATTACTGAGGATTGAACTCAGGGGCACTCAACCACTGAGCCACATCCTCAGCCCTATTTTTGTATTTTATTTAGAGACAGGGTCTCACTTGAGTTGCTTAGCACCTCACTTTTGCTAAGGCTGGCTTTGAACTTGTGATCCTCCTGCCTCAGCCTGGCAAGCTGCTGGGATTACAGGCAATTTATGGTCACCTAGCTTTCCTAGTTTATTCTCTTTATATTTACATTTCTAAGAAAATTTATCCTCTATGTTTCTAAGAAAAAGAGGACCTAGCCAAGTGCAGAGGGCATACCTGGTAATCGCAGCTATTTGGGAGGCTAAGGCAAGAAGATTGCAAGTTCAAGGCCAGCCTCAACAATTTAGTGAGGCCCTGTCTCAAAAGTAAAAAGGATTGGGAATGTAGCGCAGTGATAAAGTACCCCTGGATTCAATCCCTAGTAATGGGGGCAGGGGAAGAGACCCCTGATTGTGAAGCAAATGTGGTTCCTGATCTGATTCTAGAATTCAGGGAGCAGAACAATCCTGGGTGTTTAGGGTGCTCACACCTGGAAGATATTTTTTTGCCCTTAACTTGGCATTTGTTGGGGAGAAGAGAAAAATAGCGGCATAACTGGGAAATGGATTTGTGCCAGGGACTCCTGAAATGAGAATTAGAGGAAAGTTGCTCGTGATTAGTGTTCCACCTCACTCTTACCTTTCAGCTACACTGGTGTCTTATCTTGGATTTCTTTCCATTTCTTTTGTTTTTGTTTGTTTTCTTTCTTTCCTCATTCCTGCAATTGAGCCTGGGGCATTTTATCACTGAGCTATGCCTCAGTTTTTTTTTGAAACAGGGTCTTCCTGAATTATCCAGGCTTGCCTCGAACTGCAATCCTCCTGCCTTAACCTCCCAAGTCAAACTGATACAGATATTTGTTACCATACCTGGCCTCTTTAGGAACTTTTAAACACTGTGCTTAAAGCTCCTTTATTTGATATCTGGTAGATTTCTTAACATTTCTAACCTCTTCTGTTAACATGTTCTAGATTTATGAGAGTGCAGTAATCATTTGCTGTATTTGGGGGCAAACAGTAAAATGGTCAGGTTGACACCAATGAATATCAGAAGGTTAATAGGTTTCAAATTGCTATTTGTAAACCTCAAGGTTAAAAATAATACAATTAAATAGGCAAGTTTATGTGGTCATTAAAATCCAAGTAAGCAAACAATCAGATAATTTTGTGTTGCTTATTATCCTGATCTGTTTAAACATAAATTGTATAGCACTATATCTTTGAGAATAAATGATTAGATACATAATTACTTTTATCTCTGAAACATTATGCTGAATTTAGCAATATTATAAGCAATCCCACAAAGCTTTCTCTTTGTTATAATACCAGTGAGGAAAAGGATAAATTCAAAGAGGCATTTGAACCCAAGATAATTTTTTTTAAAGATACTTAATATGTTAAAGAGAAATTCATGTATGAATTTTGGGGAGGGGCAGGAAGGAGTACTAGGGATTGGGTGCTTTACCACTGAGCTACATTTCCAGCCCTATTTATTTATTTATTTTTATTTTGAAACAGCGTCCCAGTAAGCTGCTTAGGGCTTGCTTAATTACTCAGTCAGAACTTATGATCCTCCTACCTTAGCCTCCCAGATTGCTGGGATTTATAGGCATATGCTACCTTATTCATTCTTTTTTTTTTTTTATTCATTTTTTCTTTTAATGGAAAGGACCAACCACATCAGGATGGAAGGGCTGAAGTGTTTCAAAATAAGTTGTAAAGCGTGAGAGTGATCGGGAAGAGACTAGAACATTCATGAAACAGTGCTATAATTGTCCTGGACTACCTGTCAGAGGGGCAGGCTCTCTAAGGACAGTCCTGGAGAACCCCTTCAAGAGGTTCCCTGGGCTGTGGCAGAACCACCGCCAACTCTTCCTTAGATAGAACAGGTGTTCAAGGCAGGCCATTTTTATTGGTTCTGTACCATGAGCAAGATCTCTAAGCTCAGTGAGCCTCAGTTTCTTCATAGGTAGAATGGATTGAACTTGGAGGCACTTGACCACTGAGCCACATCCCCAGCCCTATTTTGTATTTTATTTAGACAGGGTCTCAATGTGTTGCTTAGTGCCTCACCATTGCTGAGGCTGGCTTTGAACTCGTGATCCTCCTGTCTCAGCCTCCTGAGCCATTGGGATTACAGGTGTGCTCCACTACGCCCAACTCTGTCTCTTAAGTATAGATTTGGTTTCTTTTTTTCAGTACTAGGGATTAAACTCAGTGGTGCTCTACCACAGCTACATCCCAGTCCTTTTTATTTTTGAAATAAAAAATAAAGGATCTTGCTAAGTTGCTGAGGCTGGCCTGGAATTCATAATCCTCCTGCCTCAGCCTCCTGAGTCTCTAGGATTATAAGCATATGCCTCACTCCTAGCTTTTAAGTATAGTTTTGAGTTAAATGTTTTTAAAGGTAAGTCTACTTGCTTAGTAATAGTATAGTATGGTTGGTTTTGTTTATTGAAAATGTCAGTTGTCAGCAACCATAGAAAGGCTTTTGGGAGACAGTCGTGAGCCTTTCTTCTTCTCATGCCTTTAAATAAAATATATAAATGGTATGAAACTAAGCCCCAATAGTAGTGGATATTTTCTTTTCCAAACAGTTATGTCCACGGAATTTCTTTTGATATAACAATGACTGAGAAAATGTTTTTCATTTCTGATTCTTTCTCACAATAGTTTGCTTGTTTATCTAGTATGGTCCCTTTGTTTATTGAAACCAAGATATTCTTAGTTCCTTTGAACCTGTTTCAGTGTCTCCGCCATTCTGGGTAGAGGTGTCTGTTATGTGGTATAACCCACTGAAGGCTGAGATTCCCCAACATAGTGCCTGCTGCTAGCTTAGGGTGTGGTGCTCCCATTGGGCCTGGCTGGTGTTGGTCACCCAGTGCTTTTGCACTAAGTAGCACTAATTTCAACTTTCCCATACTACAGGAGTTGTTGTTCTCTCTCTTTTTTTTTTTTTTTTTTTTTTTTTGTGGTGCTGGGGATTGAACTTAGGCAAGCACTCTACCAACCGAGCTATGTCTCCAGCCTGTTGCTGTTCTTTTAAAAACATCTTCCTCCTTTTTTCCTCTTTCTGTTAACTCTTTAGAAGCAGAAAGGGGAGTGATGGTGGGGAATTAAAGTTGGCTAAAATTGATTGTCCTGTCATGAAGTAAATGGCTGAAGTAATAGGCCTGTGATATTTAATCCCAGTTGTTGCTTTCTACTTATCAGTCTCTCCACTACCAGCAGGAATTAAGTGGGGACCTCTCTTGTCTTAGTCTATTTTCTGTGGCTGTAACAAAATACCTGAGTCTGTGTTTTCATAAATAAAAGTTTATTTAGCTCATTGTTTTAAGATTATGGTATGCATCTTTTTGGCTCTGGTGAAAGCCTCATGGTAGATGGCATTGTAGTAACAGATGCCATGATAGTGGCAGGAGTGAGTGCAGAAGAGGGGTTCAGGGGAGGTGCTGTTTTTTTTGTTTTTGTTTTGTTTTGTATCAGTGATTGAACCCAGAGGTGCTTAACCACTGAGCCACATCCCCAGCACCCCACCTTTTTTCCATTTTTTTTTTTAAAGAGAGAGTGAGAGAGGAGAGAGAGAGAGAGAAATTTTTTTTTAATATTTATTTTTTAGTTCTCGGTGGACACAACATCTTTGTTGGTGTGTGGTGCTGAGGATCGAACCCAGGCCGCACACATGCCAGGCAAGCGCGCTACCGCTTGAGCCACATCCCCAGCCCCTTTTTTCCATTTTTAACTTTGAAACAGGATCTCCTTAGTAAGGGCCTCGCTAAATTGCTGAGGCTGACTTGGAACTTACAATCCTCTTGCCTCAACCTCCCAAGCTTCTGGGATTACAAGCATGCATTACCATGCCCGGCAAGATGCCTGTTCTTAAAGGAAATAATCATTCCCTAAAAACCTGACCCACTCCTGGGAGACCAATTCCTTCTAAGAGTGGAGCCCCATGATGTAATCATTTTCTACTGGGCCCCTTCTTTTAAAGATTCTACCACTCTACCTGTCATTGCCACAGAGGGTCCAAGCTTCTGACACATGACCCTTTGGTGTGTAACAAACCATATCCAAACCATAGCACTTCGGAACAGTCTAAGTTCTCACCAGGGTACTGCTAGATAATGCTGAATAAGTATCTCCAGTTCCCAGTGGGGAGGATTTTGTTCCTTGCCATTCACTGAGATCATTAGGCCTGAGATTGGCACTAGGCCCTAGGCAAAGTCTCTAGCTTGACATTATTCACTGGACTATTCTGTGGAGCAAGGCACTCAACTGTTATGTTGGGGAAGCTGGGCACAGTAGTGCATGTTTGTAATCCTAGAGATTTGGGAAGCTAAGGCAGGAGGATGGCAAGTTCTAGGCCATCTTGGGCAACTTAGCAAGACCATGTCTCAAAAAATAGAATAGGCTAGGGATGTAGCTCAGGGTACAGTGCCCCTAGGTTCAATTTCCAGTATTGGGGGGTGGGGAATGATACTGGGGAGACCTTCAGGAGGGAGAATAAATCCCCTTCAATGTGAAATATGGGAGTGCTGCTTCTGCAAATGAAAATCCATGGTCCTTTTGTAACTGAACTACTTTTGCACAATACATATATGAACTATAAAGAAGCACCATTTCCCTTCCCTGGATTCTTTTCATGAGGAAATTGTTGTCAGCTGCATTGTTCCCTCTGAATATTTCCTTTTGTTTTCATTCCTGAAGGATTGCCACCAACTCCAGTCCAGCTGCTCTATCCAGTGTCCCGATTCAGCAATGTCAAATCCCTCCAGCACCTTTGCAGATTCCGGATCCGACAACTCGTTCGGATAGATCATATCCCGGATCTCCCACTGCCTAAGTACAATGGGGACATAGGATTGGGGCAGGAAGGGGTGGGGGGTAAATTACAAATGTCAGTCATACCTGCAGGCTGCTTACACAGGCAGACATTGGCATAAAATATTTATAGGCATATCCTTTCACCTTTGCAGTATTTTAACACCTAATTCTAGAATTATTATACTGTGGCCAAAAGGCCCTCTGCAGGCTCTTTGAAGAGTACAGTGGGAATGGTAAGAGTAAGGGAGTCAGGGCTGGCTCAGAGGTAGAAGAGTGCTTGCCTAGCATTCATAAGAACATTATGTACAATTAACACTATATGTGTCCTTCTTGTTTTTTTTTTTTTGACAGACCTCTGATCTCTTATATTCGAAAGTTCTACTACTATGATCCTCAGGAAGAGGTATACTTGTCTCTAAAGGAAGCGCAGCTCATTTCCAAACAGAAGCAAGACATGGAACCCTCCACGTAGCGAGGGGCCCCCTGCTGGTCACCACCAAGGGTAGGACCTCTCTGTGTTAATGTTCAGCCTTGGGCAGTTACCATGCGTTGAACCTTATACCTGCCCCTCTCTGGCAGTTCCCCATGTGATACCCCTGATCTAGGCATCTGCCCATAGTATTACCAAATCTGATAGATGACCTCCCCAAGGGGGCACATGCTCCATTTGGGAGAAATGCAGACAAACATGAAAGGCTTAAAGAATATTTGCCAAGCAACATGCCAGCTAATTACAGAATATAAGTGAGGAGGACACACCGTTGTAGCTAAATGCAGCCTTCTCTCATACTTGTCTTGCCTATCTCCTTACAAACAATACAAGGTAGGAAACGAAGCAGGAAAACAAAGGGGAAGAAAACTTCATCAAAGGGAATATAAACATGCCTTTCATTGTAATGGGCACACACTTCAGCGAGAACTCCACCTAGTCTCACGGTGTGATATGGGAATGAGGAAAAACATCCTGCCCTTCTATTTGAAGTCCTCTTTGGGCCACTGCAAAGTAAATTGCTGAAGAGAATAAATTAAATGAATTAACTGAGGAATTCATTTTTCTAAGAGGCTATTCTATCATTGCTACACTGAGTTCTCTACTCTTTTATTTTCTCATGAAATGTCTTGAAATATTGGTTTGAGCATGTGAATTCTAATTTGTCTTTTAAGTTACACTAAAAAGTTAAGGCAAGTAGGGAACAGACTTGCAGTGAGCTAATTCTGGTGGTGCTGGCTAAGAGTAAGAGTTCACGTTCTATTATCTTCTTCCAGTTCACAATGTTTTTCCTCTTACTGTAGGGTGTTGTTTCTTTTTGTTTGTTTGGTTGGTTGGTTGGTTGGTACTGGGAATTGAACCCAGGGGCATACTACACTGAGCTACATTCTCATTATTATTTTTTTTTTTTAAGAGAGAGAGGAGAGAGAGAATTTTTTAATATTTATTTTTCAGTTCTCGGCAGACACAACACCTTTGTTTGTATGTGGTGCTGAGGATCGAACCCGGGCCACACGCATGCCAGGCGAGCGCTCTACCGCTTGAGCCACATCCCTAGCCCATACATTCTCATTATTTTGAGACAGGGTTTTGCTCAGAGCTGAAGGTCCCATTAAATTGCTAAGCTTGGTCTCAAACACATGATAAGAGAGAGAGAGAGAGAGAATTTTTAATATTTATTTTTTAGTTTTCGGTGGACATAACATCTTTATTTTATTTTTATGTGGTGCTGAAGATCGAACCCAGCGCCCCGCGCATGCCAGGCGAACGCGCTAACGCTTGAGCCACATGCCCAGTCCCCCATGGATTTTCTTTAGCCATGACTGAGGTCAGCCTAGCTTTGTCTTCTCTTTGCTCCAGAAATCCCAGATCCTGCGCTGCTATGGGAAAGCATGTGAGCCAGGCTAACAGGGATTAATAGGGAGAAGGGATGACTAAGAGAGACCAAGAAATGGAGACTCTGAGAGGCTGCAGAGTTTTAAGGAATCCTGGATTCTGTGTACATTCCTTTATCATACTGTGTTAGCTTTCTGTCACTCTGACAACATATTTGAGATGAACAACTTAAGTAATTTCAGAGGTTTCCATTCAAAGTTAGTTGGCTCTGTTGCTTTTGGAGCTATGGAGAGAATGCGTGGTAGAGCAAAGCTGCTTACCTCATGGTGGCGGGAAGCAAAAAGAGAAAGGGGTTAGAGTCCCAATATACCTTTCAAAGCCACCCCCCCAATGACCTAATTTCCTTCTAGGTCCCACCTCAAATAGTGCCACAGGCTGGTGACCAAAGCTTTTAACACATGACCTGTGGGGGATATTAAAGATCCAAACCATAATGCATATCTTCTATTATACAGACTGTATGCTTTGGAAGTAACTCCTAAAATGTATCCAAGTGCTCTGATGTCTAGAACCTTGTGGTGGCTTTGCAGTCAAGAATGGGGTGGGGGGGCTGGGGATGTGGCTCAAGCGGTAGCACGCTCGCCTGGCATGCGTGCGGCCCGGGTTCGATCCTCAGCACCACGTGCAAACAAGAGATGTTGTGTCCGCCGAAAAAAACTAAAATAAATAAATAAAAACTCTCTCTCCCCCCCCTTCCTCTCTCTTTAAAAAAAAAAAAAAAAGAGAATGGGGTGGGAAGGTAGTTTAGAACATGGGAGTCCACCTCTGTGACTGCTCTGCTGAAGGGTAATAGAACCCTTCAGCAAAAAGCACCAATTCTGTGAGTGTTATGTCCTAGGAAGAACCCACATAAATAGGAGCTCAATCAGAGAAAGGCCTCATGGCAGTGGAGGACTCTGAATTCATCCTACAGAAAGTAACTGAGAGGACCAGAAATATGATTAACCTAAAGCAAATAAGCCTACAATTAACCTAGAGAAAGAACCTAGTAGGCTGGGGATATAGCCTAGTGGTAGAGCACTTTCCTAGCAGCATGCTCAAAGCTCTTAGTTTGATCCCCAGCACTGTTTTAAAAAAAAAAAAGCTGGGGCTGGGGTTGTGGCTCAGCGGTAGAGTGCTCTCCTAGCATGCGCGAGACCCTGGGTTTGATCCTCAACACCACATAAAAAAAAACCAAATAAACAAATAAAGGTATTGTGTCTAACCAAAAAATAAATATTTAAAAAAAATACTAATTAAAAAAAAAAAAGCTGGGCACAGTGGCACATGCCTATAATCCCAGAGGCCTCCCAAGCCTCTGGGATTATTATCATTCTGAGATTATCATTTCTCTGTGTGGAAAACTCACCTTGAAGGCAGGAGGATCATGAGTTCAAAACCAGTCTCAGCAACAGCAAGGCACTAAGCAATTCAGTGAGACCCTGTCTCTAAATAAAATACAAAATAGGGCTGGGGATGTGGCTCAGTGGTCGAGCACCCCTGAGTTCAGTCCCCAATCAAAAAAAAAACATCTATTTTGGCAATCAAGTCATGGGCTTCTAAGATCCTTTTAACAGTACCATTATCACATTCTCAGCCAGATATGTGTGGAAGCATTTGGCTATCCAGGCTTCGTTTTCCTTTTTCTGTTTTTTTATTTTTTTGAGACGGGGTCTTGCTATGTTGCCCAGGCTCGTCTTGAACTCCTGGGTTCAACTGGTCTCCCATATCAGCCTCCTGAGCAGTTAGGACTATAGGCAAGCTCTGTGACTACTCTCCTTTTGAGATATGCTTCTCCACCTCTAGCAGCTAGGTCTTTTGTTCTATCTGGGTTCTACTCTGTTGAACTGGTCTAATATATATATATATATATATATTTTTTTTTTTTTTCACCTAGGCATTTGGTTACCAAGCTCCAGTTTGAAGAACCAATTGAAGCTACCATGAAAAGAAGAATAGGAAGGTTTGGGATTCTATGTTCAAAGACTATGGTTTCTCCTGCAGCCCCTGGGGCTTGGAAGAAGCACACAACCAGAGTCTGAGTTGAGGACTCCACCATTCATATCCACCCATGGTATCCCAGAACTAGATGAGCTCTTTGAAAAACTGGAAGAAGTCTCAACACTGTTTGTTTTCAGAAGTTTTGTTTTCAATATTTGCATTTCTCAGTATGGAAAACTCACCTTGAAGGCAGCTGGGTTTTGGAAGTGGTGTGAAGGGTGAGCAGGTCCAAAGAAGGGCAGGGAGGAAAGGAGGCACCATTTACATTCAGTTGGTGCCAAAGGTAGAGTTAGGGTCTTCACCATGGACTTTGCATTATGGAGGTGAAGCCAGAGAAGTGCAAACAGGATTAGAAGCTGGAAGGGAGGAGAATCTGCTTCTCATTGTTAGCTTTAGTAGGAGAGAAAGGAGGGCAGGTAGTCTGGAAGAAAAGAATGTTGGATAAAAACTGGCAAATGGCCTTTGCTAGAGGAAGTAGTGACTCCCTACATCCTTTCCTTTTTAGGGTTTAGGAACCTAACTTCAGAATCACCTCTCTTGGAAGCTATATTTATTTTGTTTTACTTAATTCCTTAAGCTCTAAGACCTGAAGTTAACCCTGTTCTCCCTTCACCCTCCTTAGTCCCTTCCTCTGAGGTAATTGTACATTTCACTCCAGTCATGGGAACATCATTCCTATTGCTTTCACCAGCTGTCAAGAAAATAGTGTTTCTCATCACCTGAGTAGTTCAGAGCTCTAGTCATGGAGTCATTCCGTGTTTAATGGAGCATGCTTCCAGATTCTTCATGGAAAACTCTATCTACGATTTAGGAGTCAGCATTACCTCCATATGTCTGTCAGAGAGTGAGAGGGAATGTGGAGGAAGGTGAGAAGCAAAGCTATTGTGCTCTTCTTAGAAGAAACCTTGAATGTACCAGCCTTAATGGGATTTTCTTAGTTCAGGGGAAGAGAGCGTCATATCTTGTGTTTTTAGGTTTATCATTGTCGTGCCACTTCTATGACGGGAGGTAGCAAGGGCTTCTTCATTTTCCTGCATTCATTCTAGCAACCCAGACATTTCCTGAGTCAGTTTCCTTTGCCCTCCATTCTTTGGGAAGTCTTGTCAGATGCTAATTTGAGAATTGCCTGTTTTCTAGGTGAATATGGAAGGGGAAGGAGAAAAACTCAGTACTTTTCAGTTGTCTTTAAGTTTTTTGCACCTGATCATTGTCAAATCATAAAACATTGTGAGTTTGCTTTCCTCCAGTTATTCTATGGAGAGGTTTGCTATTGAGATGTCATAGCATAGTTGAGCTGTTGGGTCTTATTACTCTTCTACAGGAAGTGTTCCACCAAATGTGGGTCCCCTGTGCTTATTTCTGCTTCAGCTCACAAGATAAATCACATTGTCAGGTTTGTGGTCTGCTGATAGTTTGGGATGAGACTCCAGTGTCTTAGTAATTTATAGGACCGCCTCATTTGGAAGCACTGGCCTTTGACCTTATACCCTGCATAGAATGTCCAGTCTTCCTTCTTGTAGCTGAATATAGGGGAAACTTGAATCATTACCTGGCCATAAAGAAATGAGCCCAAAAATGAGCTTTGCAGCACAAACCTCTCCTATTTCTGATATGTCCTGTGGTATACCTTTTTTCTTTGGCCTCCAGGGAAGTATTACTAACTAAATAAGATTGGGATCCCAGAGTTCAACTAAACCTCCAGAGTCTTGCCTCTGGAGGGTAAAGTCACTCTCCATCTTATAAAAACAGTCACTCCATTGTAGAGCCTGAAGTCTGGAATCCATTGATGTTCTTTGAGTGGCTAATATGCAACTGCCTGGGATTGTTTTTCTGTCATTTTAGCCACTCGTTATTATTAATAATTTTTTTAAAATTAGAGTGTATGTGGCTCTGGGCTAGATACTGTGGAAAACATAAGAGGTAGAAGACATGATCCTTACCTAAGAGAGCTTTCAGGTAACTGCCACACATGAAGCAACTGGAGAGCGACTCATTGTGGCAGAGAATCATCACGTGCAGAGTGGGTGAGTTCGGGGGAGACCAGATGGTCTAGGAAAGCTCTGTGGCAGTGAGGCTTTGGGTTGTAGGCGGGGGCAGTACCATGAGAAAAGAAACACATGAACAAAAGCAAGGAAACAGCAGTCTGTGTGGCGTGTACTGAATAGTGCGTAGCCCTACTCGGAGCAACGACATTAAAAAACCCTATTTCAGGGCAGTGGTCGGGACTGAAACTTCATAATCTTCAGATAGGTCTGGAAACTGAGAGATTATAATGATGAGGTTAGAAGTCAAAGCCAAAAGTTGGCAGGGTGCCTGTACATTGCCCAGGACCTCACTATTCTTGTCAGCTCAGGCCCTGTGAGGGAAGCAGAGCCCCTATACCCACTATGGTGCTGGGGTTTCCACTGGATAATTCATACACTCAGGTAAAAAATCAAACCAGCTATGAATGGCCTCACCTCACCACCCACCTTCTCTGTCCTCCTTGGAAAAGTATTGAACTCTGTCCATGGTCCATCTGTGCTTAGGCACTCTCAGACTATAGACTGATCCTTCTTCAATAGATTGGGCTGCAAAACAAAACTGCACAAGAGTCTCCACCATGCATGGGTATTTGACAGCTGTAAGGGTGACCTTGTGTAGAGCAAGTTAGGCAAGGAATGAGGGTGGCATCTGGGGCAGTGACAAGTGCATGCTGGCTAAAGAGTCAGCAGAGCAGAGGGAGCAGGAGCAGGGCTAGTGGCCAGTACTTGGCCTTCACTCTTTGCCAGTGCTGTGCACTACTAATTGAAATGCACTGAAAAGAAGGAACTCATTCCTTTCTGGTTGTTACAAATTAAAGTCACAAACTGGGAAAGGCTCTCTTCTCTAGGGACCCACTGTTGATTTCTAAGTTGTTTGATGTTAGTATCCTCAGGCCCTGCTTGTGTGACTTTCACCTATTTATGACTGATCTGCTGTAATCTTCCTCAGGACAGGTGTGAGCCAATGTGAGCTAGTGACAACTACTGCTACAACCTGCCATTACTTGAAATACGTGTGCTATGTTGAGAGCACAGGAGTAGGAGGGTGGCACTTTAGTGTGGGGGGCTAGATAAATGCCTGTCACTGGCCCTTAAGGAGCTTAGGACCATTGACAATAGCCTTGGCCTGGTGCCCCACCTGTGAAGATGAAGAGAATGTAGCATCCTGCAGTGGGAGCCGTGTATGTTTATGCCAGTCCCTGAGGAGAGAGATTTGGCAGGGAATTGCCTCTGAGGTTCCTCCTCCTGCCGCCTTTCCTAATTTTCACTTGGGCTGATTGTGTAAGGCTCTTATTGAGTTTGGGAGTGACGTGGAGATAGCTGCACACACTCCTCCAGTGTATACCCCAGGAGGATTGGGGGGGTCAGGAGTGGTCAGAGTACCCAGATCCAGGTATAAGAAACTGGAAAGCTGGAAGTGCCCTGGTGAGCCAGCCTTTTCAGCCCTCATCCCTGAGCCCCCAGCAGAGTATAGCCTATTAAGCACCCTAACTCAGCAGGAAATGTGGATAGGAGGAGCTTTCAAACCCCCAAGGTGAGATCTTTCCCTTCCCTGTTTCCTCTTCCTTAGCTTTTGAGCCTGGAATTTAGAGAACCAGGCTCCAAGATGTAGCTCTGTGGCTCTTAGAGGGAAGTCTACAAGTCTGTTTGAGTGTGAGTGTGTGTCTTCATTTGCCCAAGTCTTGTCACCAGTCCGGGTGTTGCAAGCATATCCACTGGAGGAGGCTGGGATTTGTTTTCCACTTCTAAGAGAATGACATGCCCCCTGTGCATAGGGGAGGAGCTTTTGAATTAGACATTTTCCCTATGGGAATCCTCTTGGTTTGGGTTGGTGGGGGGTGGATAAGTAGTTTTTATCTCTAATCGTCAACACAGCTGTTCTTACACTGAATTGTGCTATTGCATACATGTAGCCATCTTTCTTTTCACTGCAGCAGTGTTTATCAGTAGTTCAAAATGATTTATTTGCTCCTGGGGAGTAAAACCTTTTTTATTAAAAAAGAAAAAAAAAAAAAGAAAAAATTGCCCCACTATGATAGCTTTAGGATTATTGGACCTCAAAGGTCAAGTCTGCACGTCCCTGTGACATATTCTGTTTTGGCACTGGAGGCTTCATGCTCAGCCCAAAATGACAGGAGGGCTTGAGCAAATGAAGAACAAAGTCTTGGGGGTAGTGAGATGGGGTTGAACTACAGAGACAGGCACTGGGGACTCGGGTACTGCGGTTAAGAAACAGGAATAAGTCGCATTTAATATATTGATTCTCTAATCTGTCAGAGAAGGACCTTTATTCACATGCAAATTTCATATCATCTTTGTCCTTTTCATTGATTGGCCTTCCTGATAGGTGTCACCTAATTTCTTCCTGTCTCCTTTTCTGTCCTTTTTGTACCTTCCCCCTTCCCACTCTCATCTACCTCCCGGGAAGCCAGTCCTGCATGCTAAGTGTGTGACATGCCTTCACTCCCATTTCATCTTCAGAGGGTTTTAGAGGGTACCTGGAACTGCTCCCTTCCCCTCTCCTACCCCCTCCTCCAGAACATCAAGGAGCATCAAGGGGCAGGCAAAAGGCAGCCAGCCATGATGGGAAGACATGAATGTCTGGTTGCAGCTGGACTGCGATTGAAGTTGCTCCTGGAGATAGTGTGTGAGGAAAACGGGACACTCCTCGTCAGAACCCAGGGTGATCGTGTGCTGCACACACAGCTGCGCTCAGAGCTGCGTCCTCAGCTCCCTAACCAGTTCAGGTGGAGCGGGCAGGCTGGTCTGATGACTCCATCCCTGGTGCTCTGTTGAGGGAGGACCAAGGCACCGCTCTGGGTAGGCCGGTCGTTGGGGTGCCCCAAATTGGTGCTGCCCATGGCACAACCACTGCTATACTTTTTGGTTGTTTTTAAGAAACTCAAGAGGGGTGTCATTCTGGGCTCTTGTGGTTGCCAATTTTTCACCAGACACCCCTGCAACCACTCTGTCCTCTTAAGCCACCCCTGCCCTCCTCCAAGCCAAAGTGTGGCCTGGCTTTTGTCTTCCCATTTGGTTTTCCTCCTTTTCTCTCCCTTTTTGTGCTTAATTTATTAAAATAGTTGCTGTATAATTTATTTTCATAAATATAAAAAATGACTAAATGGTTAAAATAGACTTGCAGGCCAATCTTAAATTGGGTGGGAGGGTTTGAGGGTGGGATGGGGAGAGGGAAAGCTGTTTTGATATAAACAAAACAAATGCACTTTGGGTGTGTTTTGGTATTTTTCTGGGGATAGAGGGGGTGGGTGTTGGGAAGTCCCTGTAGATTAGTTCCAGAATGAGGTGTCTGTATATACTGTATTAATAGGCATGTTTGACTCTTGTAAAGGGACATTAGTAGCTGCTGCAGGTCCTGTTTGGAAATCCCATGTACAATTCCCAGTTTTTTGTAAGTGTCAGTGCGGGAGACATTTGACTCTTGTGTTTGTATCTCCTTTTTATGATTGCTGTACCGACCCATGTCTTTTTGGGGAGGGGAGAAAAGAGATTTAAAATAAAAATGTTTAGAAATTATCTCATGTTATTTGGGTCTGTGTTTTTCAATCCCTTGCCCATCTTAGGACTCCTCACCCACCCCCAAGAAATGGCAGGAGTGGGAGCTTCCTGTGATCTTAGCTGAGTAGTGCTGAGATTATCTGAACTAGAGATGTTAAAAAATTTCTGAAGTTTTTGGCCATTGCTCAAAGCTGTCTTCTCCCTTAAGAAGTATAAGAGAGGGCTGGGGCTGATTCTCAGCAGTAGCACTTGCCTGGCATGTGTGAGGCACTGGGTTTGACTCCTCAGCACCACATATAAATAAATAAAATAAAGGTCTATCAACAACTAAAAAAATTTTAAAAAAAGAAGTGCAAGAGAATTCCAGAGAGCTCTCTGGGCAAGTGCCTTCTTGCCTTGGGTAAGCAGTGGGCTGGGCTCTACCCAGGGCAACTTCACATTTTTCCATGGGAGTTTGGAGTTATTCCTGGCATTATCAAGTCTGGCCAACAAGATTTTTCAAAACTTTAAACTGCATCCCTCCTACTGTCTTTCTAGCTCATTCCCTCACGGATCTGGCATGTTCCTCTGGTTTATACCAGTATGTACTTGGAACCACTCAGATTGCCTGTCTTCATTTTCCCACCTGGACTTTGTCTTCAGGTTCCCTGCCTACAGGGCCAGTGTACCACCTTGATGCATTTTTGTAAATGGTCTGCAAGTTCCCTGCTGCATTTGAAGCATGCTGAGCAAGATGAAACTCTGTGTGTGAAGTTGTATTTTTCAAGACTTATCAGAAGCCCCAGTCACCTCGTTCCCAAATCACAACCCCATGTTAGGATGAAACAGAATCCTGTCAATTCTGATAGTCCTTATATGAGAACACTTCTTGATAAAGTTTTCTTCCCTCTTCAATAAGTGCTTCAGTGAAGTGTGAAAAACATTACAAGAGAAAATGTTTCACTTGGTATCAGGTATAGAAATAGCAGCCATTTGGAGCAGGCAGTTTATCACAAGGGATCCTTGCTAGCAGTACCTGGACCTAGCAGATGCCATCAGTCAAGAGTAGTGTGTACAGTCTTGCAAATAAAGATGTTGGTTTATATCATTTCCACTTGGCATCATTCATATTAGTGAGGACTGTTGGATTTGTTTGACTAGTTCGGTACTAGTTGAACTTGAGACATAAAACCCATAGGATGAGCAATCTTTAGAGAAACAGTAGGCCAAGTTACCCACTTCTGCCTTCTTCACCGCTACCCCACCTTGAAACCACCTTCATTTCTTGTGTTCCCCACCTGTGCCTTCTAACTACCTTTTTTTGTTTTGGCACCAGGAATTGAACCCGGGGCGCTTAATCACTGAACAACATCCCCAGCTCATTTCTTATATTTTATTTAAAGACAGACTTTTTATATTAAAAACTCACCCTGAGTTGCTGGAATTACAGGTTATCCACCACCACTCCTGGCCCAACACCACTTTTTTTATAAATTTTTTTTTAGTGGTCAATGGATCTTTATTTTATATGTGGTGCTGAGGATCAAACCCAGTGCCTCACACATGCTAGGCAAGCATTCTACTACTGAGCCCCAACCCCAAGTCTTCATCATTTTTATTCTATCACAAATGCACTTCTATCTCATCTCTATAGTTGAGGCTCATGCACATACATACTTATAAGCACATGGCAAATAATGGTGTAGAAGATTTCCCTCTCCATTCCATGTTCCCATGATTGAAGATGAGATGTTCTTAGTTGCTTTCAACCCCTCATAGTATGAACATTTTTATTATTTATTTATTTATTTATTGTACTGGAGATTGAATGCAGGGGTTCTTAACTACTGAGCCACATCCCAAGCCCTTTTTTTAATATTTTATTTTGAGTCAGGTTCTCTCTAAGTTGCTGAGACTGGCTGAACTCACAATCCTCCTGCCTCAGCCTCCTGAGCTGCTGAGATTACAGGTGAGCACCACCATGCCTGGCTAGTGTGAGCATCTTCTGGGTAGTGATTCTGATGCATATTTGTGCCACATGGTTTTTGAAGCAGACTGTTTTCCCATGAGGCTTGTCAAAGGCACAAGAGTTCATTCCAGCTCAGGAAAGGCCCTACTGGGTTATTATTGATCTCTAATGGGGCCCTTTCCTGAGTGATTTTCAAGAGGATTTGTGCAGGGTTATGCTATGCATGGATCTTTATTGAAGCTGCTTCATTACCATATCCTTATTTGAGCAATCCTTCCCCCACCCCTTGGTACAGGGAATTGAACCTGGGGTACTTAAACACTGAGCCACATCCCTGGCCCTTTTTATTTTTATATTTAGAGATAGTCTCGCTAAGTTGCTTAAGTCCTCACTAAATTGCCGAGGCTGTCTTAGAATTCATGATCCTCCTTCCTCAGCCTCCCTAGTTGCTGGGATTAACAGCAGGTACCATCACACCTGTTTACCCAGACAATTTCAGCAATTTCCCAACTGGTCTGCTTGCTTCCTTTCCCTTTGCAGTCTTTTTAAAAGATCTTGAAAACTGAAGATGTGCTATGTCACTTCCTCAGGATAAAATCTTCAGTATCTTACCTAGAGAAGACCTAAAGAAGAACATATCAACTCAGCCTGCCTTTCAAGGCTATTTTTCCTTTCCCTGCCACACATGCTGCAGTGTGTGACCAGAAACCCCCCAGACTGATCTTCAACCACCCCTTCAACCACTTCCTTCAGATTGTTTTCTCTGTCTGGAGGATCCTTACCTGTTACTGTCTCTGCCTGCATAATTCCCGCTCATCTTTCAAGGCCTTGCACTAGGATCACTGGAATTTTTCACAAGTCATTTCTAGCCAAACAGATGGCTGTTTTTACTGTGAAGCCATGTGTTCACTACCTGCTTGCACCACGGTGACCTCTGGAGACACAGAGTCTGTATCCTGTTCATCTATCTCCTATCTCCAGAGCCTGGAACAGTTTAAAAGATGTGCCTCATGGTAGGTGAGTTGAGGAAATAGGATCAGCCCTCTTTCCCAGGAATGTTGCTTATTTTCCTTGTTCTCTAGTCAAGCCAGTCCTTGAACTTAGGACACGGGACCTAGTGCATACCGGATAACTTGATTGTATAAAGGCAGGATTTTTTTTAGTCACAAAATGTCAGTCTTCTACAGGGTTTTCTCAAAAGGTTGAATCAGTGGTTGGAGTAGGAGTGTGAATGATAGGAGACAACTGAAACAAGATATTCTGGAGGTGGGAGGGAACCACTTCCTCCTGGTGTCATAGAAGATAACAGAACTGTCACTGCCCTTTGGATGGAAGATACTGCTGATCTAGAGTCAGCAGGCTTTGTCCAGTGACCAGAAGTCATGGCAAATGCCCACTGCTTCCTCCTGAGCTCTCATTTATCAGAAGCCTGGTATATAAAGAGAACTCAGCCCAGGCACCCTTCCACTTCACATCCCTGACTCCTTAGCTCATCCCATGGGTGTCAAGGCCTGGCTTTTCCCTTACCCCTTCTGAGAAAATTGGTTTTATCTCTGTGCCTTTAAGCTGCAGATTGAGGGGTGATAGCATAACTGGAGAATGAGAGAGTAGCTGTTTTAAGCTGGGTTACAGCTAGTGGTGTTGATTTTTGCAAGAGATAGACATTGCTTTCTCCTGGATGTGGGGCCAATATTTCTTTGATTGCGGTGCTATATGTAGAAGTTGCATGAGCCTGATTTTAGACACAAACTCCTATTAGAGGGGAAAGTGGGCTCTGTTTCTTGCTCACCTCTGTAATTCCCCGCCCACCACCTAGTCCAGCACTGTGGCTAGCACACAGGAAGATGCCTCATGAGTGTTTGGTCCAGACCAGGAGGAGAGGAGGCAGTGGAGAAAGATCCTCTGGGCTGGAATACTCTGGGCCTGAGTTGGGGGGGTGAGGTGGGGGCAACTATATTGGATGGAGAATGTACATGGTAAAGATTTTTGGCAATGCTGGCAAGGGAAGTACCCAGCATTTTATTTTATTTATTTTATTCTTTTTATTTATACCTTTATTTTATTTTTTATATGGTACCGGGGATGGAACCCAGTGCCTTGCAAGTACTGTACCACTGAGCCACAACCCCTACCTAGTACCCAGTATTTTAATGTATTGTGAAAGGGGAGGAGGCAGTAGGATACAGTGCAGTGGTGCCCATTCAGGGCAGGAGCTTTATGGTTTGAATCACTTGGCCAACTTTTTCACACCTGAGACACCACCCTCGGCTCTCAGGGGTGGGTGGGAAGAGGAGGTGGTAAGGACAGCAAACTTCTCAGATGCATTCAGGGCTCCTCCTACACCTATCAATACCCTGAGAGGACCTGGCCCAGGACTGGCTGGCTACTGGACTTGGGGTTCCAGCTCCATTACCAGCTGGTTATGTGATTTTTCTTTTTAAGTATTTTTTTAAAGTGTCGATGGACCTTTATTTTATTTATTTAAACGCAGCGCTGAGAATAGAACCCAGTGCCTCACACATGCGAGGCAAGCGCTCCACCACTGAGCTACAACCCCAGCCCATGGTTATGTGATCTTCAGCAGTTCGATGATTTTTTTTAAAATTTGTTTTCTCCTCTTTAAAGGGGGGGAGAATATTATTACCTGCTCCATGTGTGAGCAAGTGAGATAATGCCTGCAAAATGCTCAGTACATCTTAAGCACTCAATAAACAGCCACAAGCAATAATCCTGAGCGTTGTAATTAGAGGTCTTTTGAAAAGAACGACCAAGAGCTTTCTGCTTTCCCAAAGGCAGGAGGGAGGACGCCCAGACTTCTGGAGCCGCTCCCTGGAGGCTGCAGAGGGGCTGGCTCTAGGAGGAAGGGAGGAGCTCGGGGAGGTCCCGCCAGGTAGGGCGGGTGCTGGGGCTGACGGCAAGTGGGTGGAGCCGATGAGTCCTTGGGCCTCTCCTGCCACCTAGCGGTCCTCTGGGCTAGGCCACCCAGCTGTCTCTCCAGGTCTGGGCGGTGGGCGAGGCAAGGCTTAAATAAACAGCATCTCCCGTCCTCTTCTGAGGCCCCACTATATGC